TCAGACTGTGAAATAACTCACCCTGTTTTCTTCCAGTACTTGTATGGTTTATTTATTTTTAAAATCCAGATCTCACATCCATTTGGTGTTTGTTCTTGCATATGCTAGGTGATTAGGGGTCTACCAAATGGGTATCCTGTTGCCTCAATATATTCAAAAGTTCACCTTTGCCCAGTGATTCGAGATGCCATTTCTACCATATACTAAATTTCTTTATGTACTTCGTCTGTTTGTAGACTTTCTATTCTATTCCATTGGTTTGTCTTATAATGCATCAGTACTATACTGTTTTAATCATGGAGGCTTTATGTTTTAATATCTGATAGAGTTAATTCACCCTTTTAACTTTTCCTTTTCACTGTTGTTTTTCATGTAAACTTCAGGATCAACCTGCCTAGCTCCATTAAAACATTTTTATTTTCACTAGGATCGATGAAATTTGTGAATTAATTTAGGAAGAACTGACATTTCTATGATGCTGTGGGTTGATATTGGTCCACCAAAAAGATATGTTGAAGTTCTAGCCCCTGGTACCATGCAATGTGACCTTGTTTGGAAATAGGGTCATTGCAGATGTAATTAGTTAGGTCATTACTGGAGTAGGGTGGGCACTTAGTCCAGTAAGAGTGTTCTTGTAAGAAGGAATTCTGCCTCAGGTTTTCACAGTACAGGCTTGAGATTCCAGCCTGCTGGCCTGTGCCCAGTCACATGATTATTTGTTGTTGTTCAGTAGCTCAGTCATGTTCAACTCTTTGCAACCCCATGGACTGCAGCAGGCCAGGCCTCCCTGCCCTTCACCACCTCCTGGAGTTTGCTCAAACTCATGTCCATTAAGTCGATGATGCCATCCAACCATCTCATCCTCTGTCGCCCCCTTCACCTGCCCTCAATCTTTCCCAACAGCAGCTGATTTTCCAGTGAATCGACTTTTCACATCAGGTGACCAAAGTATTGGAGCTTCACATCAGTCCTTCCAATGAACATTCAGGGTTGATTTCCTTTAGGATTGACCAGTTTGATCTCCTTGCTGACCAAGGGACTCTCAAGAGTCTTCTCCATCACCACAGCTCAAAAACATAAATTCTTTTTCACTCAGCCAACTCTCATATCCGTACATGACTACTGGAAAAACCATAGCTTTGAGTATACTGACCTTTGTTGGCAAAGAGGTGTCTCTGCTTTGTAATATGCTGTCTAGGTTTATCATAGTTTTTCTTCCAAGGAGCAAGCGTCTTTTAGTTTCATGGCTGCACTCACTGTCCGCATGATTTTGCAGCCCAAGAAAATAAAGTCTGCCACATTGTTTCCCCATCAATTTGCGATGAAGTGATGGCACTGGATGCCATGATCATGGTTTTTTGAATGTTGAGTTTTAAGCCAGCTTTTTTACTCTCCTCTTTCACCTTCATAAAGAGGCTCTTTAGTTCCCTTCACTTTCTGCCATTAGGGTGGTGTCATCTGCATATCTGAGGTTATTGATACTTCTCCCGCCAATCTTGATTCCAGTTTGTGCTTCATCCAGCCCAGCATTTTGCATGATGTGCTCTGCATATAAGTTTCATAAGCAGGGTGACAATATACAGCCTTGTACTCCAATTTTGAACCAGTCAGTTGTTCCATGTCCAGTTCAACTGTTGCTTCTTGTCCTGCATACAGGTTTCTTAGGAGGCAGGTAAGGTGGTCTGGTATTCCTATCTCTTAAGAATTTTCCTATGTTTGTTGTGATCCAGTCAAAGTCTTTAGCATAGTCAATGAAGCAGAAATACATGTTTTTCTGAAATTCCCTTGCTTTTTTCTATGATCCAATGGATGCTGACAATTTGATCTCTGGTTCCTCTGCCTTTCCTGAATGCAGCTTGTACATCTGGATGTTCTCGGTTCACATACTATTGAAGCCTAGCTTGGAGGATTTTGAGCATTACCTGCTAGCATGTGAAATGAATGCAACCGTGCGGTAGTTTGAACATTCTTTGGCATTGCCTTTCTTTGGGATTGGAATGAAAACTGACCTTTTCCAGTCCTGTGCCCACTGCTGAGTTTTGCAAATTTGCTGGCATATTAAGTGCAGCACTTGCACAGCATCTTTTAGGATTGAAATAGCTCAGCTGGAATTCGATCACCTCCACTAGCTTTGTTCATAGTAATGCTTTGTAAGGCCCACTTGACTTCACATTCCAAGATGTCTGGCTGTAGGTGAGTGATTACACCATCGTGGTTATCTGGGTCACTAAGACCTTTTTTGTACTGTTCCTCTTTGTGTTCTTGCCACCTCTTCTTAGTATCTTCTGCTTCTGGTAGGTCCATACTGTCACATGAACCAATTCCTTCAAATAGGGATCTGTGTATATGTGTGTGTGTGTGTGTATTTTTTCTTATATATTCTCAGGAGCACACTGACTGATATACATGTTGTTTTTCTATTCAAGAAGATGTCTTCATTTGTCAAGTCTATTTTTGTGTCTTTTAATAGTTTAAAATTTAAACTTGTTCTATCCATGATTCTAGATACAACATTCTGGGCTTGCATGGTCTTTCCTTGGGTTTTTTGAAAATGCTATTCCATCCTTGCAATACTTTGTATATTACACATGAGAGGTCTGATACCAGGCAGATTTTCTTATTCATATAAGTAATTTGACCTTTTGTCTGGAAGCCCTAAAGATCTTTTGTCTTAAAAGTCTAAAATGTTCCGAGACCAAGATATGTCTTGGAATTGGTAGATTAGTGTCAGTTTTCTGAGGCACCATTTCAATGATAGAGACCATTCCAATATGTAGAGTTTGCTCTTATTCATGGAAATATTTCTTGGATTATTTTAAAGAAGTTAATGTCACCAAAGATTAGACATATTGAGATCATGTGCCTCCTGATATCATGAGCAAATATCAAACCAACCCCAACTGAGGGACATTCTATAAAATCACTATTACTCTTTCAAAAGTGAACTGGTGGTCCAGTGGTTAGGACTCAGTGCGTTTACTGCAGGGCCCCAGATTCAATCCCTGGTCAGGGAACTAAGATGCTGTAAGCCGTGAGGCACAGCAATGAACCATCCCAGACTGAAGGAGCAAGGACAACTAAATAGGAACTGCGTTCCTGAACTGGATCTGTGTCCAGTAAAAGGTCACTAGTAGGACAAGTGACATAACTTAGTAGCCAAAGTTTGTTCCTATTATTTGCAACCAAGAAACTAGCCAGTACCTATCAGTGGTACAATGATGGGTCCAAGCAGAGTTCCTTGAATTTAGTACTATTATTATAGTTTATATTAAACATGCACAAACATTAGAGCATGTTATCCCAGTGAATGTTGATTTTCACAGACCTGAAGTATTACCATGCCCAATACATAGATTAAAAACTCTGATTCACAGAGGATTAAGGGATTTGCCCAAGATTGTTCAGCTAGTAAGTGGTGAATCAGTTAACTGAATTCATCTGTATTTCAGTCTCAGTGCTTCTTAACTAATGCCTTTTTCTGACAACTCTTATTTTTCCAGGAAACTACTGCATAGTTACTCGGTCATGAAAGGCCAGAAAGAAACCTACCTGAAGCCTGATGCCACTGCATGTTTTGGAAATTGTTGGTTCAATCATCCATTTAAAAGTAAGTTTATGGTGTTCCATATTATTTGGTACCAGTGAAAATGGATATTCAGTATGTAATTCCTTCAAAAGAGACATAGCCAAAGAAAATCAATTCTCTATTATTCCTGATAGAATTGGGCCATAAGCAGTATCTGCCACATATAGAATCTCAGATGTTTTATACACTTGAAATATTCCACCAATTAGATATGAAGTGATTGGGTTTTCTCTTTCACTGTCAGTGGAATAATCTGCCACAAGCATGACTCTCCTGCCTCTCACACAAATCTCCACATCGTGATTTATGTTCCTGAACAAATTAGACTTAATTTAAGAGCAAATCATCAGCAACAGGTATAATAATCTTGGCAGAACATTTATTTTAATTAATTGCTTTCTGCCTAACATAGATGGGTGCTAGTGCCATTTACCCTGTACGGATTAGTGCTGTCATGTAGGTAATTTTTTTTCTTCTTCTAGAACTTAGTCTCATCAGTTTTAAATTACAAAGGCATTGGTTTACTTCATATTTAATCATAACAATCTAACTTCTATGGCAATATTTATATAAGAAACTTGTGGAAGAAAAGTGGATTTTAACCACTCTGTGGCATTATAGATCCCTGTCCCCTAGACATAGGCCCTGTTGGGTTCCATGGGGGTCAGTGTTCCAGGTTAGATGGCTGGAAACACCCTCACCCTCATGAGCTTGGCAGGGGGTTGTGGTGGTGAATACTTGAGTGATTTTCAGACAACTAGTTTTTCTTTCCTGTGCAGTTATCAGCTTCACTATTTATAGTTCAATGAGAGGTGAAAAGAAACACTCTATGGAAGTTTACCACTCTAACTGTCAAAGGTTATCTTGCAGTGGTGGTAGAAAACACAGCTAAATAGACTCCATCTTCTCAAGCATGTGGATTAGAAATGATATGATGATCTTTGCGAAGAAGAGAGACACAGCTAATTCTAAACCCCAGTAGGGTTCCCAGGGGCAAGGCAGCGTAACTCTAAAATAACTACATAAGCATGAAGCTTAAAATTTTAATTGGGTAAGTCATAAGCTATAAGACTTTAAAACTAACCCTTAAGCCTTTTACCTTATTAGATGGTCCTTCATATTCTAATCAGTATTTAATATCTGCATAGTCACTTTTTTAAACACTATAGGGAAATTTAAGCCTTCCCCACCTGAAGTCGTGTGAATTTATCATATTCTGTATAAATTCAATGATAAGTGTAGAAAACAAAGTGTCTTCCTCATACTGGTAATGAATCAATCTCAGGAGGTGCAGTGGGAATAAACAAATATAAAAAAAAAAGTTTGTATAACAAAACAGCCAATTATGATCAAAACCCTGTTTAGGTTTTTATAATATAAAGTAGATGTAGTATTAAAATGACACAAATTTTGAATCATTATTAACTTTATTTGTCACTCTTTATAGACATTGGTCCACTTTCACATGAAAAGTAGGGAGTATCTACTTCCACTTAACATTCTATGTAGAACGATTTTGTACCGTAAACCAGAGTAACTTACACAAGGGGAAAAATGACTGAAATCATGCCCCAAGATGTCCCCCAAATGTTTTTGTGTATATGATTACAAGTGTCTTAACTCCACAAAGCTAGTTTATTAAAGTAGTTCATTCTTAGATTAATGTAGTATGTTTAATATCCACACTTGACCATTCAGATCACCAAACTTTCAGAAGAGATTAAAAAAAACAGCTATCATCTGTCAATCAGATGCAACTGAAAATGTGAGTGACTGCGTAAGCACATTCATAGTTAATAGCTGCTTGAAGTTAGAAACCTTTTCTTGTTTCAGAGATATTTACATTAAAACATTTACAAATGGTTCATAGTATATAACAGCCCAAATGTCACTTTTAACCTGTCCTGTGTAAGGAAGTTAAACATTTCAAATTCAGTGCATTTTCCCAACATAAATAACACAAACTATTCTAAATGTTTTACATTTATTACAGTGCATATTTCCAAATAGTAAATGGAATGAAATTATATTAAATGGTTATATCATCGTATTTAAGCATATTATGGAATCTATATCACACAAGTCAACTCACATCAATACTATATAATTCACTCTAAAAGAACATCACAGGCATACACAAAAGAGAACAAAATTTGATTTTTTATAAATTTAAAGTGTACTATCTAGTTTAAACTACACTAAAAGATTTATTTTTACAGCCAATTTTCAAACCCTCTTTCTTTCCAAGTTTGGCATAAGCAAAGTTCAATCCATTCGAATCTTCTGGTTTGTCATCCTATAGATGATGCTATCATATCCAGGATCCATGTTCCAAATATTGTAACAGGTGACAATCAGAGTCAAGGCCAAGCCGATCATTATCCAAAGTACCAGGTTGAAAACCACTGAATATTCAAAATTATATTTATATGCAAGGTTATAGGGAGTTGAGGGGTCCTTCTACAATAAAAGAAAATCAAGATGGAAGAATATTAAGTTAGGAAATTATCACAATTTGATAGCTGTGATTCATTTATCTAACAAACATACTAAGTGGCATAAGAGCTACATATATTAGGAACTAAGAAGGAGGAGCCTTCATGGAGAAGGTAAACACTCTGTTGGTGGAAGCAGAAAGTGGCTCAAGTGCTTGAGAAAATTTGGCAATACCAATAAAGTTGATGGTGTTCATATATGGTGATCCAGCCAGTTTATACCCTAGGGAACACTTCTATATGTGTAGCAAGACATGTACAAGGATGTCTATCAACAGAGTGGATAATTAGCACATCCGTGCAGTGGAACACATAGCAGTAAAATGACCTCAACTACTCTATCAGCATGCGTGACTCTTAAATACTGAGGCTTTGCTCAGAGAAAAGACACAGTACGATTCCAAACAACATTGTTTAAGCCTAAATGAAGTGAAAGTGTTAGTCACTCAGTCGTATCCGACTCTGCAACCCCATGGACTGTAGCCCACCAGGCTCCTCTGTCCATGAGATTTCCCAGGCAAGAATACTAGAGTGGGTTGCCATTTCCTTCTCAAGGGGATCTTCCTAACCCAGGTCTCCTTCAGTTCAGGCAGATTCTTTACCATCTGAGCTATCAGGGAAGCCCTTAAGGATAAATACATCTGTATTAAAACTGTAAAGAAAAGCCAAGGAATGGTTAACATAATATTCGAGAGAGCAATTTCCTCTAGGTGGGGAAGGTAGAGGAATAAGACAAGAGGGAGCTTCAAAGGAACAGGTATTACCTTCAGCTTGAGAGTGTTACATGTTAAAAGTTCTTTAACTAGTATTACATGTTACATACTTTTGTATTGTGTGTGTGGAGGGTGTATCCTGCCAGGGAGGTTTTACAGTCATTTCTGCTGGGTGGGGCCCACCCCCTCTTACCAGCGTAGGACCAGGGTTTGTGTTAATTTCTTGGCCCGAGGCTTCCCTAGGAGACATTCCACCACCCCCAACACATACCTGCCTGCACAGCACCCAAGTGGCCTTTCTGTCTCCCTTTGCTGGTGTGTGTGTGCTAACGTCACTCCAGTTATGTCCGATTCTTTGCGACCCTATGGACTGTAGCCTGCCAGGCTCCTCAGTCCATAGAATTCTCCCGGTAAGAATACAGGAGTGGGTTGCCATGCCCTCCTCCAGGGGCTCTTCCTGACCCACGGTTTGAACCAGTGTCTTTTACGTCTCCTGCACTGGCAGGCAGGTTCTTTACCACTACCACCACCTGGAAGCCCCCTTTGCTGGCAGGTAGGCTGTTTTCCAATCTACCCTCTCACTGTGGGCATGGCGCTTTTGGCATCCCAGCTACACAAGGAAGTCTCAGTTCCAACTCCCTACAGTTAGAGAGCCAGTCCCTTGGCAACCCAACTGGCAATGTCCTCAGGATAGCCTGGTTATTACACAGTTCTCCAGTTCCCCTTACTTTCTTGAGAGTTAAACTATGCACTCAAAAGGGTAATTTTTTTTTTTTAATCGGCCATTTCTAGATGCTCTGTAGTGGGAAAATTTTTCGGTCTGTCTAGCTTGGTGTGTTTTAAACAGAGGCTCTCCCACTCCTATTTAGGATGAAACAATCTCAAACCAGCCATGTCCAGATTGTCTTGAACACACATTACCTTTGAGCATCTCACTCTTCAGTCCCATGGGGCCCAAAGGAGAGTGTCCATAAAAGACTGGGGATCTGACTGCTCTGAGAGATAAAGCCAGCTGTAAATAATGTTCTTGGCCACACGATGCCTTGGCTGTGTGCATATACACTTGTTTTACTAGGGCTGGCACCCTTGCCTATGATCCTCTAAATGCTTAAAAATCAAAGTAAGATCCAGGCCAAAAATTTGTAGAATTGTAGAGAGTGTACATAGCAGGAAAATGAGAGACTGTACCATAAAGACAATGTGCCTCTGAGAAAAGCAGATTCTACAAGTTGAAAGCACCACACTCCTCCTGCACGTTAATGTCTGACATCGCCTTGTAATACCTGTATTTGAATTATCTCACCAGCTCTGACAGATTTGCTTTTATCCATAACAAAGTACATTATCTGATTACAACCCCAAAGAATTGAGCATCACTTAAAAAACACTACCTCCATGAATAAGAAACTTATGCTTTAATCATTTTTCAGATTTACTGATTGCTCATGTATACTGCCCACAGGTGATGATTTGGTGGGTTTTTTAAGAGTTCATTTTACAAGTTTAAAGCATGATCCAAAAATGTACTCACCACTTGTTTTGTCTCAAGGATATTCCTCGTCTTCCTCACAAGGGATGTGTCGAATGATCTGACAGTCACTAACTCTACCACTGCATTCCCACCATAGAGATTGTACATGTCATCTGCAAACTGAAGCGTTATCGGCATTATTAAGAATCTCAAAACACATACTTATTAAAATTTTTGTAAAGCTTCGGTGCACCTACAAGAACAAACACAATTACCTATTGGCTCATGAAATGCAGTCTTAAAATAGGCAAGTCTTAAAGGTTTTGATTATGTTAAAATATTCAGAAAAGTGTTACGATTCAGCTCAAATACTCAGAATAAGAAAGTAGTCACTGAATTTGTTGGTGTGTTAATTGGGAGCAGGGAAGTAGAAAAGGAAAAGGAAATCTTTCTAAGTGGTCTCTGGTTAATCACACCTACAAAGGTTTTAACTGAAGCCTCATTGAAGGGCTGCAGGTGAATAAATTCACGGGCAGAGGAAAAGTAGCATTTACTAGTATCTACTACATGTCTGGTGCTGTGCCAAGTGCTGTTCTTTGATTATTTCATAGGGTTTAATGGGGACAGCGTTTCAGGGAAGATGAAAGTCTTGGCAATGGATGGTGGTACAGTTGCACAACAATGTGATTGTTTTTAGTGCCACAGAACTGTACACTTACAAATAGGTAAATGGTAAATTTTACGTTAGCTATATTTTACCATGATGAAAAGAGAAAAGTACTGTACTAGAGTTATCAATCATTTCCTACGCTGCCTCTGCCAGCATTCGAAAGAGAGAGATCTCTGGTAATTCTCTGGTGGTCCAGTGGTTAAGATTCAGCTCACTGCCAGGGCCCAGGTTCAATCTCTGGTGGGGGAACTAAGATCCTGCAAGCTGTGCTGCACAGCTCAAAGAAGGAAAGACACATTGACATCCCACTATATACCTGTGACATACCCACTCCATCCTCAGCCTTCAAAGAAGGTGAGTAAAAGACTTCAATCAGTAGTATTTCACTAAGCAGATTTTCCCATTAGGAAGCGAAAAGTCAAATGGTCATACTCTTAACTGCTCACACCCCATTGATGATTTACCTTTTGCAGAGCATCAATAAGGATCTTAGAGGCATCTCTAAATTGTTCAGAGTCTTCCCCATAATGTTTCCCAATTTCATCCAGGCCTGCCAACTCCAGTGAGTATAAATCAGGAGAATGATCCTTGGCTAGATGCTTATGTCGAGACAACTTAGGAGAACAAACAAAAGGAGGTGGAGAAAGTAATGCCAAATACAGCCAGTTGGAGTTTTCTACCTAAAAGGTATAACAGGGGCACCCCACTGTACCACAGTATGGGCTTCCCAGGTTGCTCAGTGGTAAAGATCCACCTGCCAGTGCAAGAGATGTGGCTTCGACCCCTGGGTTGGGGTCGAAGGAGGAGGAGGAGGAGGAAATGGCAACCCACTCCAGTATTCTTGCCTGGAGAATCCCATGGACAGAGGAGCTTGGTGGGCTACAGTCCAGGGGGTCACAAAGAGTCAGACATGACTGAGTGACTGACTATGCATGTCTGGGAGGGTGGCAAATGGAACTGGTTAAAATGGTAGTTTCTGAAATTCAACACAGATCTTAGTTTTTAGAAGCAATTATAATAAAAACTTATTTTAAAATTTCTTAAAAACCTCAGATATGGGCCAGGGTATGAGAGAACAGGTAGGTGGACCAGTCTGATCCTAGAGAGAGAGATGAGCCATCAGTGGTCACCTCCTGCACCACTAGCACCACACTTCCACACTCGCCAAACCACCCCCACTGAAAGTTTGGGCAACAACTATAGAAGATAGCACGCAGGTTAAGCTTTTCTATTTCATCATAGGATTAAAAAAATTCATTCCCCCCCTCCCAAAAGAACATACTACAGGCATATTTATTCCCTTCCTGACTTGGCTGACAGCACTGTTAGTCAAAACTGTATTTTCTACTGAGGTCTATTTTAGACCCAAAGATAAAGATACAGTAATTAAATCTTAATATCTGAGAAGAAATCAACAGGTCAAAACTACAGCCAGGGTGGCCTTACTCCTAGGCCTGTGTACTTGGAATATCTCTCCTAAAAGTAAAAATGCAGACTAATGCATGAGATGAGTTCAAAATCCCCAACACCACCACTAATTTCTCAACTTCCATGGAATCATAAATCTAAGGCATATGTAAACTTTTTGATTGGTTTCATTACCATTCAAGGAATCTCTAGAAATGTCTTCTGAAGCCAGAATAAATGGTACTGACAAATGAGAGTAGCCTACTTACCAAACTTGAAATATCACGTAGCACTTGCAGTTCAGAAAGAAAAAGGAGATCAACCTGCAGAGAGCAGAAAGAAATGAGCATTATCTGAAATACGCATCCAAGATCTGTATTTGCCATCTATCAAGTAAGGCACAGGATGTTACAGACATTAAACACATGAGTGAATTTATGCAACTGTCCTCCATTTGCTAGGTTCATTTCAACTGAAAATGCTTAGAGAATAGTACTTCCTAACAAAATGGTGAGAAGTTATTCTCCAGCACAGCGACTACCTCTCAATAACATTATTTTTGATAAAGCCATGATAAAGCATCCAAACTCTAAAGTGGTTTCCCCTCAGGGCATCAGAATGTTCTGGCACACTGCAATGAGGTCCTGCCAATAGCCTCATTTGCTCACATCCCTTGAAGAATAAAAGGTGGTAGTCCTGGTCACCCAGAGTAGGTGAGGGGAGGCTACCACAAAGGTGGCATGTCATGTGGTTAAGAGGGTGCACGAACAGGTGAATAGGTGGTAAAGCTGACATACAGGAGTCAAAGGAAGGGTAGCACCCGACACTGGACAGTTGAGAATGAATAGAAAAATGAGGCAACATACCAGAAGAGGCAGTGACTAACAGCTCCCACATTACCAGATCTACCCAGTTCCACCCACTACCAAAGTAGTTACTGTGATTTCTGGCCTGTCAGGATTAATTGGTGACAACCCTTGCACTAGTACGTCATACTATTTACTATAGCTCAGCTCACAAAAAGAGTCAGTTCATAAGAATCATTTTTTTTTTAAATTACACTAAAGGAAAAAATGAGTCTACTCCAGCAGGAAACTTGTAAAACTTTTCATTTTCTAAAATTTCAAGTTTGCTCTAAAGTCAGAAGCATGAGAAATTAGCAATATTCACTTATTTATTCAATGACTACACTACTTACTTCATTGTTCCTACTCAGAGAATTGAGGGGAAGTGAAGTAAGAACAGAGTTTTCTTGAAACAGTCGATTGCGGAGCTGTCTGAGTGTTACTGAGAGATCTTCAAAAACTGAGTTTGCCTTCCCCACCATGTACACCCTCTGAAAGAAGAATCCAAAATTGTATTACATTCTGCAGATTAATTCCAATATACCAAGGTCTATCAGCATTTTTCATAAAATTCGTTTTAAATTTTCATTAAATAATGACAGTTTATTTTTCAAAGCATTTAAAATAAAAACTATCACAACTTACTTCCTCACTGGGAGCCAACTGCAAAACCACAGGAGTTTCTTCAGAAAATAAGGAGTGAATGGAATTTGCCACGCTGTCAAGACTAAAAGGAACTGCCTGAAATTTAAGAGTGAGACTTTAATTATTATCTGAACCTAAGTAGGAAGAAAAATCATTTAAATAGTATTAAAAAGGGAGCCTTAAAAAAAAAGTACCAGCATTTTCTATGGGAATTTAAAAGACCCAAATCATATCCAAATACAAAGATCCTGTTTGAGGATACTGAAGATTAAACAGCCCCCTAGTGGGCCAATGATTTTGTCTCCAAATGTGCCTAAATAAGAAAAAACTTGCAAAATTAAGGACAAAACACTATCTTGTGCAAAGCTTCACTTTCAGGTGGTCATGCATATGCTCAGCCCCTCAGTCGAGTCCAACTCTTTGCGACCCCATGGACTGCAGTCCACCAGGCTCCTCTGTCCATGGAATTCTCCAGGCAAGAATACTGGAATGGGTTGCCATTTCCTCCTCCAGGGGATCCTTCTGACCCAGGGATCAAACCCATGTCTCTGGCATCCCCTGCACTGACAGGCAGGTTCAGTTGGTCATTCAGGTATTTTTTAGCAGGAACACATTTGGTTTCAATATTGACAAAATGTGCCACAATGAATGCATATTCTACAATAATTTATTAACTTGCACTTAAGAGGTGAAGAGAATCTGAAAACTTAAATTTGATTGAAAGAAACAGACCTCATTTTTCATTTAACTTTCAAAATGTTTACGGGATGGGAGGGAGGTTCAAGAGGGAGGAGACATACATCTATCTATGGTTGATTCATGTTGATGTAGAAACCAACACAACATTGTAAAGCAATTATTCTCCAATTAAAAATAAAAATTTAAAAATAATTTTAAAAAAAGGAAAAAATGTTTAATACAGTGTAGGGTTTAGTCTTCAGATAGACTGAAGATTCTCAGGCAATGGACAAAGTATGTCACAAGAAATATGAATGTGAAATTTATCTTGGGACCACATGGTATTAATAAACTGAAATTGCCAATTATGATAAAATGTACTTTTTCCCCTGAATTTCTTGTTAAAGTGTAACATACATATGGGGCTTCCAGATGGCTCAGTGCTAAAGAATCTGCCTACCAATGTAGGAGACACAGGGTTTGATCCCTGGGTCGGGAAGATTCCCCTGAAGAAAAAAATGGTAGCCCACTCCAGTATTCTTGCCTAGAAAATTCCCATAAGACAGAGGAGACTTGTGGGCTATAGTCCCATGGGGTCACAAAGAGTTGGACACAACTGATCACGCACGCACACAACATACATATAATATGCATAAATCTTGGCTTAAGAGTTCAGGGAATATTTATAAATGGATATTCATATAGCGCACCAGATCAAAATAAAACATCAGCACCCTACAAGCCTCTCTACCCACTCCCTCCACCCCCAAGGGTAATCAAAATTCTGACTTCTATTTCCATAGACCTGTTTCTGCCCCCACATTATTTTTTAAAAGAAGTAATGGTAACTTTTCCCCTCAAAAAGTATTTTATTCTCATCATTATTAAAGCAAGCAATATAGTAGCAATGTTTTTGTTTTAATGGAGATTTCTCAGAGTGATTTTTTTCAGTAGTTTCTTCTACTCTTAAAAGGTTCATAAGTAGCACGTTAATGTGGGCCAGGCAGAAATAAATGTGTTTAGTAACTGTGAAGTGAAATTAATTTTTTTCTCTTACTCAATGCATATCAACTCTTCCCCAGATTCTCTTAAAATAAGTTAATGAGTAACTGAAGATGGGGAACAGAGTTCCAACTTGCAAAAGCATCCTTTTTATAAGCATCCCGAGTGCCACAACGTGCCACAAACGTGCTCCTTTTGCAATCCTCACAGTCAACTTCCTTGGGATTTGGAAGGAATATGAGAACACGTAACACAAACTCTTCAGCCTCATTTCATCTCAGTGGCATTCATGGCAGGAAAGTTGACGATCAAAGGTGACATGTCCCTAGCAATCAAACTGGAGAAGCTACTGAGTCAGGTGAACGCCAAACTGAGAAGGAAAAAAGGATACAGACCCGCTAAACTGGAAAGGAAAAAAAGCTCATGCTTAAAACTGTATTATAAGGATATGCACATGTTTGTCCTAGAGAAAACAGAAATTCTGTATCTATAGGACTTGAAACTAATGATAACAGCTAGCTAATCAAATAGAAGCTTCATTAAGTGGAATTCTAAAGCTTTTGTTTGTTTTGAGGTGGATTTTTCCCTTAGAGGCAGTCAATCAGGGTCAAGCAATAACATGAGCTCTTTTCACAGTTTCTACTCATGTAAATTGAGGATACTCTTTCTAAAATGTTTAATTTCAGATTGTAGGCTAATGAAAATCTGAAGGGCATTTTGGATTTTTAATATATTTTTTAAAAGAGATCTTCTACAGTGATTTTCACAGAAAATCATACACAGCAAGCTACTTAATAATCTTTGTGAAGACTAAGAAAAATGTTTCAATACACCTTTCATTTTTATTGTTCCCTTCCATTTACTCTGAAATTCTTCTGGTTTCTTTAGCTCACTAATTTCCAGTCTTTGAAATTATCTAACATGTGCATTTAAGGTTATAAATTTCCTTCTTACCACTTTAACCACACCCCACAATTTTAAAAATATATGGTACGTTTTCAGTTCCAAATAATTTCAAAATCTCTGCTGTAGTTTTCTCAACCCATGAATTATTTAGGACTGTGTCTGTTCCAGTATCTTTTCGTATTGACTTTTAAAAAATTTTGTACACATGCCACTTAAGAGACCAGTTCTATAAGATTTTTTATGAAAATAAGTTTGCCCGTTTCCATTCCTCTGAGGTACTCACTTTCTTTCCTCCATCTTTTTTCTTCCTCACTTCAAGTTAATTTTTTTCAGTTTTATTGAGAAAATTGACATACATCACTGTATAAGTTTAAGGTGGATGACATAATCATTGTGAAATTACTACCACAGTAATAATTACCATCACCATACAGATACCAAAAAGAGAGAAAGCAAAAGAGAAAATTTTTTTCCTTGTGAAGAGAACTTAGAATTTACACTTTTGACAACTTTCCTATGTATCACACAGCAGTGTTAACTACACTCATCATGCTGACAACATTACATCCTTTGTAACTACTTGTAGCATTCACTTTCAAATCTTTTGTTTCCTTTTCTTTTAACCACCATCTCTAAATAATGTGTTTATATTGCTACATCTTTTTCAATTTTAGGCATTACCTATTTACTGCCCATTATAGAAGATGAGGATTAAGCTCTCCCACATCACCAACCAGAGCCCTATCTCCTTACATGCAGGTTCTCTCTGCACCTTCCCAATAGCTATATCATAAATCATTTTATTATGTCTACTTAAACAGTATTCTCAGCCTAGCTTCATAATGTGCAATTACTGCTTTTCCCTTCTTGCACTTCTAATCCCCAGTGGCAATGATGAGGAATTTGCTACCATTTTACTCGCATTCCTTTGTCACACGACAGTATCTTTTCTCGTTGGTAAGACTGTCAGTATCCTTGACTGGTCTTCAGTTTCACTCATATTTAGGTGTTGATTTGCCTTTAGCCCACCTCAGTGTGCTCTAAACCTGAGGACTCATATCTCGTGTTTGTTTCTATCATTTGCAGTCATTTTGTAAAGGTATCATTTTGTTATTTTTTCAGATTTAACTGCATTGTCGTCAGAGAAGGTAGTTTATATGATACTATCTGTTGAGCTTTGCCTTGTGGCCTAACACATGGTCATTTTTTTGGTAAACATGTCATGTGCTTGGAGATAATGTACACTAGACCACAGGAAAAGTCTGAAAAAAATCCCCCCTCCAATTCCCATAAGGATAACAGCCGATCTATCAATAGAAACCCTTCAGGCCAGAAGGGAATGGCAGGACATACTTAGAGTAATGAAAGAGAATAACCTACAACCTAGATTACTGTACCCAGCAAGGGTCTCATTCAGATATGAAGGAGAACTCAAAAGCTTTACAGACAAGCAAAAGCTGAGAGAATTCAGCACCACCAAACCAGCTCTTCAACAAATACTAAAGGATCTTCTCTAGACAGGAAACACAGAAANGAAGGAAAGAGAAGAAAAAAGGAAGGTCAAATTCAGACTATAGCTTTGAGAGAAAAACAGAATAATGTTAACATGTGCCAGAGACAAAATTAACTGTGCTCTTTGAAACCAAACAACATAAAGGAGGAATTATAATCAATGATAATTTAGGCTAGTATACGTAAACTTACATGTTACAATGTGTTTCGTTCTCCAGTCCCAGAAAAACCTTATTTCAAACTTCAGAAGTGACTTGCCAAATTTGATCTAAGATTCACTAATAAACCTGGGTCTTTACCAAATTCAGTTAGTATGACTGAATCAGAATTCAAAAATATCTCAAGCTGGAAAGATGCATCAAAACCAACAAGAAGGAATTTAAAAACAATGTAAGGTTTCCACATTGAAGCTTGAAAAATAATGACAAAGAAAAAAAGTGGACACAAATGTCCATCAATCAGGGAACAGATGGGGACTTCCTTGGTGGTCCAGTAGTTAAGACTCCGTACTTTCAATCCAGGGGACATGAGTTTGATCCCTGGCCAAGGGATTAAGTTTCCACATGCTGTGTTGTGCACCCCCAAAAAAAATTTTTAATGAAAAAAAAATCAGAAAACAGATGAAGTTATTAATAATAAATTCATAGGATGGAAACTATAGCAGTGAAAATGGACTATAACTATACATATGAACAAAGTGAAATGTCATGTTTGAGGGAAAAAGCATATTGAAGAATATATTTTGTGTAATACTATCTATATAGAATTGAAAAACATGCAGTATCATATAAACTGCTTAGAAACACATAGGTAACAAAAGTATGAAAAAATGCACAGTCACAAAATGTAAAAGAGTGGTTATTTTCAAAGAGAGGGAGAGTAATGAGACTGAAGAGAGGTACAACAGGAACTCAGCTTTATCAGTTATGTTCTATTTTGTAAACTGGGTAATGTTTATCTCCTTCTATTTCTTAAACATTTTACAAAAAAATTTAAAGAATTACATAATTATATTATGGGAAAGACAACTTGGTAGCATTATTTTTAAAAGATTTCTTATGAGCCAAAAATGCAGTGTGGTTTCTAGAAAGAATTATCATAATCTTGATGAAAGTGTGGTATCCAGATTATGGAATTAACTGAACTGCTGCATTCCTTATAGTTAACCACAGAGTATTGTTTCATTCTGAGCACTACAATTTAAGCAAGACATTAACCAAACCGAGTATATCCAATGACCAGAATAATGAGTAGTCTCAAAACCATAACTGTAGATAATCCATCAAAAGAGGTGAGGATTTTTTTTCTCATTTTTTTCCCAGGAGGCTAACAAGACTGAAGGGAGAAACTATAGTTATCTAAATATAAAAGCAAGAGTAAGATGAATGGATAAAATATGGTGTGTATATGCAATGGAACACTACTCAGCCTTAAAAAAAAAAAAGAAATTCTAACATATACTGGTATGAAATGGCTGAACCTTGAAAACACTATTCTAAGTAAAATAAGGCAGACACAAAGGGACAAATATTATACAAGCCCACCTATATAAGGCACCCATAGTAGTTAAATTCATGGAGAGAGCAAGTAGAATAGTGATTACCAGGAGCTGGGGGGAGACAGGAATGGAAAGTTATGGTTTAATGGGTAGTTTCAGTTTGGGATAAAGAAGTTCTGGAGATGGACAGTGGTAATGACTGTGCAACGATGTCAACATACTTAATGCCACTGAAATGTACACTTAAGATGGTAAACTTTATGTGTGTTTTCCCTTTTTTTCTTTTAAACGGGTAGAGAGGGAGGTGGGAGGGGGGATCAGGATGGGGAATACATGTAAATCCATGGCTGATTCATGTCAATATATGACAAAAACCACTACAATATTTTAAAGTAATTAGCCTCCAACTAATAAAAATAAATGAAAATAAATAAATAAATAAATAGAATTCTGGGAAAAAAAAAATCCCCCCTCCCAAATTAGCATATTTTGACCAGTGTTATAATGCAATGAAATTAGAAACTGAATAATTAAAAATTATCCTGAAAGAACCCACGTTACAACACTTTTAAATAACTCATGGGTTAAAGAAATCAACATAAATTACAATATATTTTTAAGTGGAAATGAAAGTACCACATCTAAAAAAAAAACTTTTAACTGCCTCTAGTTTCTAGCCCTTCCTTTCTCACAATTTTATTATATGTATGTATTTTCAAGTCTCTTTTTGAGACTGGTTTATTATCTGTAGTTCTAGGGGGATGAATTCTGTTTGTTGGACCTGCTGACTTTCTCATGGCATTTTTTTCCCCCTCAAGTGTTTTGGTAAATTCAACTCTTCAATTCTTTTTTTTTTTACCACAACAGCCCTGGATTGTGGACATATCTGTGTGGGATGGATTGTGTGAATTTGAAGTAGATAACTGTACAGTATAAGCCCATAGTTCAGATTTCTCATAGGGGGCTCTCTGGGTTCCACAGCTAAGGGTGGCAAGCCAGCTCCTCTGTGGTAGCCCTGGGGCAGTTGGGCCTTCCTTTCAAGAACAAGACAGCATTTTTATAGCCCCTGGCTTTCTGTAAGGAACACAATTTCACCTTCAGCTCCTGCTCATCACTGTGGTTTCTATATTTTCTATTCACATCTGGCACCTGTGTGTATCCCTTTCTTGCTTTCAATTTTAGTTATACATGTAAAGATGTTTGCTGACTTCCATATGCTTACAGTAGAAGGAGGGCCTTTCACAACAGTTCAGTCAGCCATATTGCCTGAAAAGCCCGTAAAAGAATAAGTGAGCCAGCAAAACTGCCCCCAGTCTTTTCCTTACCAAAACAAATGATAAAATTCTGAAGGGAAGGTGATGAAATAATGCCCAAGAATATGTCAACAGGTTACACCCTCAATTGATTTATCTTTTTCAATCCTCTGACTATTCTCAGAGCGGGGCAATTTCTTGACCTCTTACACTTAGAAAGTACTCTCATGCATAGCAAGCAGCCAAGTTTCAATCAATCTGCAACCATCATATAATTTTTTTAAAAAACTGCAGTTTATTTATCAGGGCATTAAAAGAAAGATGAGTGCTTAGAACACAATCCATAGTGACAGCTGACAAGACAAAATGTTAAATGCAACCCCTTTAATTCTTTATGGTAAATACTCACATTTTCCAAAGGGTACGAAATGACGCTGCCTGGGGGTAGAGCAAGCTTGTCCACTCCTTTCACCATCACCATAACAGTAGCTCGAGGACGGTGGAATAGGTTACCTACTGCAAGGCCTGGCCAAGAAAGGTCCTGCACATTGAAAAGCATGAAACTGTGCTTAATTATCAATTCAGGAAACCATTTCCCCAGTAACATCTGACAAGCAGAGTTAAGGGATTCTGGGATGATACCAGCAATGAAAACTCATAGGGACAGCAAACGTCTTATTTAAGGCAGTAGTTGCAATCTCCTAATTGAGGATGCTGAGTTCTACCTTCTTCATTTTAACTGCCACAGACTTGAAACAGTAAAGTCTAATAATAAGTCATCTCAAACCTTCTGTGGAAAAAAGCAGGCAAGTGAACAAAATGTAGGTACTTTCCAAATTCCAGATTATGAAATACTTTCTCCTCCATGTAACTGTGGATATTTTCTTCCCTCACATCATCCTTTGCCCTTATCTGCTACAATATCATGTTTCTCTTTCACAGTGACACAGCAAGACTACCATTACAACATTCTCTTTAAGCACTTTATAAATAAAATTCCTGCTGAAAGTGACTTGTAGTTTAGTAATAATTACTTCTAAAGGTTATTTTGACAGCCATTTGTAGTCAAAATTAAGTTCGTAAAGAACAAGGTACAAATTTCATATTTAAATGTAAACAACCAGTCACATTCATGCAAGGAGCTCCACCCAGAGGCCCAACTGAGAGGCAGTTCCTGTGCACAGCTTCTGGTTTCAAGGGCACTCAGGACCTAGGAAGAACATTCCTCTGAGTGATTCATGATGTCTAGAGACCACCTCAAAAGCATCAAACCTTAAAGTGGGAGGAGACAGGGAGATAGAACAAACTCCATCTCCTTTCTTCCAGCCCTGAGCTTTAAGCTCTCTCATGCTGACTGGATCTAGGCCACTCTCTGCAACAATCACACACAAGCAGTCGGTTACTACAACAGGTTATGACTACTGACCACATTATTTTCCTAAACTCAGGTAAGATGCATATACACTGCATCATTCATAATAAATTGCAATGGGCTGCATGCTTGTGTCCCCTTGAAACTCATGTTGAAATCCTAACCCCCTCCAATGTGATGGTATTAGGAGGAGGGGCTGAGGGAGGGAACTAGGTCATGAGGATGGAATCCTTATAAATGGGATTAGACCCCTTAGAAAGGGGACTCCAGAGGGCTCTCTCTACCACATACAATAAGAAGTTGGCACTCTGCAACCTGGAGAGGATCTTCACCATGCTGGCACCCTATCTTGGACTTCTAGCCCCTAGAAGTGGAAGAAGTAAGTGTTGTTGTTTATAAAACACCCAGTCTGTGGTACTTTGTAATGGCAGCCTCAGATAAGACACAAATCTATCATGTGTACTGGAAAAAACCAATAAATTTATACATCTTATTAATAGTAGGACAGATGCATTCTCTAATATAACAAAGGACGTCACTACTATGAATAAACAATTACATGGTTAATGTTTTATAATGCTTTGCTTTCATAACCAAGCTTGAAACACTTACCTAAAATCTCTCTGACTACAAATAAATTTTTAACTTTTGTAATCTGTACCTATGTCTGCCTGCTGCTTTCTTGGGCTATTAACAGAAATCAACAAAAATGCTTTCAGAAGCAGCTCCAGATATTTTTTTAAAATACACATACCTCTTTCACAGAGAAGCCCATTGACAACGCAGCCACGTCTGGGATTCGCTCTCCTGGAATAGGCCAATTTCCATTCCGGAAAACAACAGATCCTGGTGATCTTAATATACTGAATTCGTTCCCTAAGATACCTGAAAAGAAAACAGATTAATAATCAGCATCACAAAATTTCTGCAACTACACTGAAAAAATTTAATTACATACTTTCCCATTCTCCATTGACTTAGCATACTAAAATGTTGACAAAATGCTGAATCCTAAAGATCAACAAATTCTTTTACCAAATATCACTGCAAGAATTTAAGCCCATACCTTCTGCTGTAACAAAGTTACAGCAATGAAACAGGATTCTCATAATGATGTAGATGCCTTCCTGCAGATGGCCCCTAAACAGGGGCATGTGACAATTTGGCAAGGATTAGAAATCAGAGCATTTCTCCAGATTTTCAAGAACAAAAACCAAAACCCTGACCCAGACTAGAAAGGAAGAAAATAAACTTGAAATGTCTTAAGTTATTTCTACCACCAATTCTCTCTTCAAAATGCAAATTCAAAAAATTTCTAATATATCACTCTGAAATTTCAGCCGGTTAGTCTATCTTAGGATAGATCCTAGCTTTCCTTATGTCCCACAGGCAAAGCTAGTGAAGTGAGAACTGTCAAATGGGGGGGGGGGAGGGTACACATTACCAGTTAGAAGGTATAATACTTCAGACTTTAGAAACGAAGTCCAGGACATAGTATTTCCAACAGACATATCAAGAGGCTGAGAAAAGGTAAACTCCTATACCAAGAAACTAATGCTTCATGCAGGCATCGCCACGATACCTGAAAGGTCACCCATTTGAACACGACTAGTGAATGGAGATGCCACCTCAACTTACAAACCCTACATTTGCCAGTAATCATCTCCATAGTCCCAACATTCTAATCACTTACAAAGTGTAAGAAGTTGGCTTCCCAACTTGGAACAGACCCTGTACCAGAAGTTAGGTGGCTGTATGGCTGGGGGCATAAAAAGCTGGCCCTGTACAATATGAGTCCCATGAGGGCAGGGGTTTTGGTTTGTCTTGTTCACACAATAGCCCCAGGGTTGAGAACAGTGCCTGGCACACTGGTGCTCCATCAATACTTGTTGAGAGTGAATGAATGAAGCTACACCTTGCACTAGCCCTTTTTCCTTCTCAACTGGCTCTTTTATTTGAGCACACAAAAATACTTGTAGGGTGCTCCCATTCTAAAATCCACACCACAGAAACTCTCCTTTGGTCCTACCAGCTCCCTCCTGCCTCTGCTTCCCTTCAGATGAAGAACCACCTTGGAAGAGTAGTCAGCCACCACCTGGCTCCTCTGCTTCTTTATCTCCTATATGCTACCTGACCCACAGCTTCTGACCCTACCACGCCACCCCGAAATGACTCACCAAATCCCAGAGACAGTTTGCAAGCCTCAATTTATGTAACTGCCCAAAGCGGCTGATTCTGGCAACTCTGTCCTTGAAACTCCTGCCCTGGTCTCCCTAAGCCTGAGCCCCTGGTTTTCCTCCCAGTCCCTCTGGCTGCCTTTCTCCTCAGTTTCTTCTCCTTCCCCTCCTTTAAAGCAGCGACATGCAAGCTTTTTAGATTTCAACCCTTTCAGTACGAAGCTTGAAAGTATTCCCAGTATACATATGTCTACTTAAAAAGTATACATTCACAAATTATAGTGTAATAATGGGTTCATAATATATTACAAAGCACCAAAATCCAGCACACTCCACTTTGGAGATCTGCAGCTCCATTCCTGACCCCCACTGCTTACTGTTCTACGCTGGCTTCCCCCCTGCCTGGGCCCATCTACTCCCTAAGGCTCCAAACACTAAAAACACACTCATGGGTCCCAGATTTTTATTTTCAGCCTAGATTCCCTTTAAGCCTTCTGCCTAGATATCCAGCAGTCTGCTGAGCATTTCCTTCCAAGTTCCACGGGTGCTTCAAACACAACAGGTTCAGAACTGAACTGGCCATTTTCCCCACACACGATTCCTGTATTCTCTGTATCAAAGGATGACGCCACCTTCCACCCAGCTGCTTAAATTAATCATCTTGAAACCCTTCCTCAGCACCACAGCTCATCAACCTCTGAGTTCTGTCTATCTTTTCTTCTTATCTCCCAAGCCCTTTCCCCTCCATGTCCAGGGCCCTCCTCAGGCCTTCCTGAGGCTAGACAGAACTGGCCTCCTTGTGACCGGTCATGCCACTCTTCCAATCTTCCCAGCACCTTTTCAAACTACAGATCTGAATGTTCACCCTTCAGCTCAACCACCATCACTCAATGCCCAGAGTCTCTGAGACAAAATCCAAAACCTAACACCCAAGGCACTTCACCACCCTTCCTATGGAATCTCTGCAACTTTAACTCCTATACGTTTCAGCTCCACCAAACTGCTCTTTTGCTCTCATATCTCTGTGCTTTTACACATACTGTTCTGTCAAAAAACCCTTTTCTTCCCACCCCAACCGTTCACACATTTACATGTGAGGCACCCAGCCTAGGGAAATTTCCCCCAGCCTCCCCAATCTGGGCTAGAGGTTAAGAATCCTTCGCTTTGGGAATGCCCACCATATTGTGTTGTCATCTCTGAATGAAGATGAAATCATCATGTAAAAAACTAAAGAGGTCCTACTTTTGACCTCTGGGGTATCACTAACCAAATCGAATCCTTCTTCAACGTGACGCCCCTTCACATTCCATGTGTCCGCCCTTGGCCCTTCCTCTCCAAGCTAACCATCTGATTTTTTTCCCCAAATACTCCTCATGACCTGGTATTTACTTCTAGTTCACTTCCACTCTCTCCCTGATTTGGTATCACCATTTTAAATGACATATTTTTTCCGCGAGCACGTGACCTGGTATTTACTTCTAGTTCACTTCCACTCTCTCCCTGATTTGGTATCGTCATTTTAAATGACATATTTTTTCCTCAAATACAGAAGTCAGATCTCTTAAAAGATGTTTTCCATAAGTCACATTTAGTCACTGTGGAAAACAGTAATTTAACCTCATCTGACAAGACCACAGCAGTGAAGAAGCTGACAGGATCAGATTCTTGGTCTGTATGAACTAGACTTTTCTAGTTAGGAAAGCAGGTTCAAACCATGTACAGAAGCAATTATTTGCCTCAGACCAAAACTTAACAAAACCCCCCAAACCTCACTGAATCACAGGAAGATCAATTATAACATTAAAACATGCATTTCAGCAAGATGTTCAGTTAAATCACAGTATCAAAGGGAAGATCTTTACATTTCCAAAACCAGGTTTAAAAAATTAAATTCTCCTGAAGTACCCAACTAGACTGATCAGAATGACCTTGCCAGAGCCAGAGATGAAAGGAACAATACAACTCTAAAATTCTACAGTCATGAAAACAAGCCAGCTAGCATCAACACAACACTGGGCACCTCCAGGGATGGAGAAGACCTGTAGACTTCAAAAACATCAAAGGTCTATATCTCCATGTAAAATTAAACCACCATTCCCAAAGTGAAGTGTCTCAGCACTTCACAGAGCAGTGGCACAGGCCGTCTACAGATTTTTAACCTCTAGGTTTTAAACTGGCAAGCTGGGGAACAGGGACCCATTCCTCCAAACTGTTCTCAATGCGGTCTCATGTTCGCCACTCTCCGTGCCCCTAGTTCCAGCACCCATCATTCCCACATTCTCACACCTGTGCCACAACAGATACAATAGGAAAGGCCCACCGGGCTCCAAAGCCCAGTAATCTGGGTTCAGTCTCAGGCTTGCTGCTTACCACTTGTGTGCTGTGGGTAACTTATCTAGGCTTGACCACTCTCCTAAGGACTGATGCAAAATTAAATTAATTACATGATACACGGTAAGCTAAATAGGAGCTGACTGGCATTCCCCTTGCTGAATACTGGGGAACCTAGATTCACGGAGAAAGCTACCATTTGACATGTGACCCCAAGAACGTGACTCATGCCTTAGTTTCCAAATCCTTAAAATTAGGAACTACTGCAAACTTTGTGGAGAGGTACTTGGAATTCTCCTTGAGAAAATAATCACACAAAAACAATTATTAATACTCCACTCCCAACTTTCGTATCTTGAAACCGTGGGGAGGGGGAGGAGGAATTTCACCAATTACTGATGACCACTGCTAGAAATAAAGACACCAAGAAAAGCAGCAGCTGAGGGCAGCTGGGACGTCGGCCTCTTCGCAAAGGGCTGCGGTTCATCAGCTGATTGAGAAATGCCTCCCGGTCCTCCGAAGCGCCTCCCGAGGCGGAAGAGGCCGGAGCGAGACAGCTGGACGCGCCTTTCTCGAAGGGGCGGAAGGTGGAGGCCGGCTCAGGTGCCCCCACGCAACCCAGCCCCGCCCCGCCCGGCCCGGTCCCTGCAAGCCCGCCAGGCCGCGCCGCCACAGGCTGGCCCAGAGAGAAGATCGAGAGAGAGGCGGCTGGGGCGAGGCCACCGCCGGCTGCCCGCACTGCGGCACCCGCCCCACTGCCGCCCACCCTCGGCTGCCCGCGACCCCCAAGCCCAGCGGCCCTCGGAGCTCCCTCGCGGAGCGCCTCCCGCCCGCCCCCGGGTCCTCACCCGCCACCAAGGACGACAGGAGCACGACAAGCACAGCCATGGTTCCGCGGCGGCTGCAGCAGCGCAGGGCGACGCGGAACTGACCAGCAGGACGCTAACGACCACCACAGCACGAGCGCTGCTGCGACTCCCAGAGGTCGCCCTGTCGTCGCCTCCGCGGGGACGGTCGCCGCCTTCTCCACCAATCCCTAGCTACGCCGCGGTTTGCGGGAGTGACGTAGCTTGGGGAACGTCAGGGTGATGGGCGGAGCCTAACATGATGGATAGAAGGCACTGTCAGGCAACGATCGCCGAGCCGGGCAGTCCCGCCCCCGGCCCGTGACGAAGGGTCATGAGATGGAGGGTAGGGCTGGGGATCCGGGACTGAGGGGGAAGGACGGAACCTGTCAAGGGGTGCAGACAGCCCCAGAGAGACCACACGGCGGGGCTGCCTCCCGGGTGTGGACCCTTTCGCCAGTCTTGAGTGACGGTCTTCTATCAGGGTGTCTGTCTGTAGCGATCGCGAGCTGCAAGGCTGGTTTGGGTTTCGCTCTAACAATTACACAGATGCTGAGCACCTGCTTGGAGGAAGCCAGGCGCCTCGGGAAATCCCAGCACTCCAAGTAGGGGTGCCAGATAAACTACAGGACGCCCAGTTAGGTTTGAATTTCAGATAGACAACGAATAATTTTTAGGATAAACGTCATGAATATTTCATGGGACATACTTAAACTAAAAAAAAAGTTATTTGTTGTTTATCTGAAATTCAAATATAACTGGGCGTCCTACATTCTGATTTGCTAAATCTGGCAACCCTAAGACTTATTGATCTACCCAAGAATTAGTTACATTAGTTAATTATTTCCTTCATCCATCCTTTAGTATGTGAAGGCTAGACATAATTAATTTGGCCAGCATCCTCCCTTCTGACATCTCATGGGTTGTTTTTTTTAACCTCGATATGAAGCAAGAAGTGACAATGTATCAACTGTGTTCAGAAAACAGCTGATGGCCTTGAAAGATGGATGTGGTTTCAATATGCATGGATAGGAGTTATTTCAGGTAGCAAAAACCAAACTATGACAGGAACAAAGCCCATCAGGTTAAGCATTAACTGTTTAGTTCAAAACATCAACTCTAAGATCACTGACTTGAAAAATATCAATAAGAATTTAATCATTTTTTAAAAATTCATTTTTAAGCATGATGGAATCATTTCTCTTCATATCAACTAAAATTTCATTCTTTGTGCATCTTACTACATATTGTAGAACAGGTTCTAGACAAAAGTCCTAAAAAAATTTGTCTAAACTTTATTTAGGGGCATAATCAGCTAAAAGTAGAGCACAACTCTTGCAATTTCATCCAGCCTGAAAAACGGGGAGAGGAGTGAATTTTTCTGTTCTTGAAAGAGTTCTAGGACATTCTTATTTCTTTTAATTTGAAGTAGACCAAAAATATAAATAGACTGGAACATAATATGAATCCTGCCTATTCCTCCCCACCCAGGAAACCTCAAAATCTCACAATCTTTCATACTCTGTCTTGAGAAATAACGTCCTTTTTTTGAGCCAAGGGTGAATAGTTTATCCTTTAAATCTAAGACCCCTTTTCATCTGAGGTCTCAAAGGGGCTTATAGCCTTGAAATTCAGCAGGATAAAGGCTGTAGGAAGGCTTCTCCTTGTATCATAGATTGAGAGATTGAAACCTGGGGGAGGGCATATGTACTCAAGGTCACATTCTGAGTCCTCAGCAGTTCTGCTTTGTGAACACAGCCCTTCTGATTCAATCTTTAGCGCTCAGTAAACAACCAGTGGTGTGCAGTTAACTTTTTCCACTGAAGCATTTTGAGATGGATATGTGTGCCCAGGAAAATATTTGAAGTAATGACCCCTGTGTTAGCCTAAAAGAAACCTCCTCCCCCATTCTCGGCACACCTCTCCTCCCAGGCCAAATAGCCAAGACTCCAGCCATCTACTGCCCTGAGAAGAACCAGAAAACAAAAATGTCTTGCTTCTTGAGTTCCAAAAGGAGAGGGCCAGATAGAAGATTTGAAGAAACACATAATATAGTTTGCTTCTGTAACTCTGCATCCCACCCCCTACCCACCCTCCATTAATTCCAGCAGTGAGTTCTGAGTGATCCCAGAGAGAGCATGGTTAGATGGTCTGGTCCCTGTAAATCAGCCATCAGGGAGCCCTGTGGAGCCCTGCTCAATGAAAATTAAGGATTTTTTTTTCAAAAGACACAATATGCAGAATGGAAAAGTGAGTGTGAGCTGAACCCTGTGTAAATAACCTGAGATTTTACATTCCATTTGAAGGGGGAAAGGAGAAAAAGCTTCTTTTCATACGGTTCAGCTCCAAGCTAGCAGGACCCAGTTGACAAAGCACCTTGGAAAAGGAAATCTGAATAAAGTATGGATTCTAGCCAATAATAATGTATTAATATCACTATTGGTTCATCAATAGTGACAAATGTGCCCTACTCATGTAAGCTGTTGATAATAAGGAAAACTGAGTGTGAGGTATATGTAATATCTTCTCAATTCTTCTCAATCTAAAATGTTCTGAAAAATAAAGCAAATTTAAAAAACCCATAAAGTGAAAATACAAGTCCCCAAATGGGAAAAGATCAATTATATCCAGAAAGTGTAAATTGCTCCTACAAATTAGTAAGACAGAGACAACCTGATAGAAAAATGGGCAACTGACTTGAATAGATACTTTACAGAAGAGTAAATACAAAAGACCAGCCAATATATAAAAACATGCTCAATTGCATTAGTAGTTAGGGAAATCAAATTTGAAACCACGCGATACCAACACAACCACTTAACTGGCAAAGGTTTAGAAGTCTGACCATGCCAAGTATAGGCAAGGATGTGAATCAACTGAAACTCTCATAACATGGGGGTGGAAGTGTAAACTGGAACAACAGTTTTTTAAAACATTGCCTTGTCTATTAAAGCTGAAGAAATACCAAACTTATGACCCAGCAGCTCCATTCCTTAGAAATACTACAGGAATATGCACTTATATATTAATAATAAGTTATGGTATATTGATTAAATAAATTGTGGTATATATTTCATACAATGGGATACTATATCATAATGAAACTGAATAAATATAAATAACAGATTATGTATTATATATCACATTTATACTATATAAAAGTAAGAAATGAATGGTTTGACTCCATTTATATAAAGTTCAAAACCAGGCAAAAAGAAAGTATACTGTTTATGGATGCAGTATAGATGGTCAAAGTATAAAGAAAAGCAAGGAAATGATTGCCATAAAAATACCATACAAGTTACCTATGGGGTGGTAGAGAGGGGGATATGTCTAGAAGGGACATGCAGGACTTTCCTGGGGATCCAGTGGTTAAGACTCTGCACTTCCCATGCAGGGGGTGTGGGTTTGATCCCTCACTGGGAAGCTAAGGTCTCATATGCTGTGCAGCGTGGCCAAGAAATTAAAAATATATATTTTTAAAGGGACATGCAGAAGGATTTGGGGAGGTTGGTCATTTCATAATAACCTAGGTGGATATTGTTACACTAGTGTTCACTATTATCGATATTTTGAACACTGATGTTGTATGTTTATTTGTGTCATATTTGACAATAAAAAAGGTTTTAAAAATCTAGCTTGCTTCTTGGAATCTTGAGGAGCTCTATCTCCCTTTGACTTGGTAGGAATTATTTGTATTCTATTTCAGCTTGTTTGGAGATTCTTGTGTTTACAAAACACGTCTTCAGTGAGGGTGGAAGTTTCCAAAGAAAGGCCAGAGTTGTGTGGCATGTTTACGGCTGTCTTAACAAGAGATCTTAGAGATGGTATCTACTATGGGAATTCACTACAGGGCAAAATCCAGGCTTCAGCCTCCCAGTCTGAGAACCCCAGATTTGTCAGTGTCCCAGAGGGAATCTGACTCCATGACATTGACCCCAAACAATAAAGTTGTAGGTTCTTAATGGTGCAAATACCATTTTGACATATATAAGTACGTGGTAGTCTGCATATTCATGGCAACCTGGTCAGCATATTCTCTCCAAAAATGCAAGTGACATAGGAATCCTAGTTACCCAAAATCAACTTGGTGAGTATGCAACCACAGCAAATATTTAACGCATGAGGTTCTGCTGTACCCATCTCCACAGACGGAACACACCTGATGGGAAGACTGGATGTTTGTGCTCAGATTGACAGGGTACTATAATAAGCCCCCTTCGGGGGATGACTGTACAGACCATACCTCTCAATTCATGAGAACTTCCCACCCCTTCCATGGTTTCCTCTGTATTTGTTTTCCGGATTAAACTCTGAGACAGAGTGCAATCTTACCTCCAAGTTTCATCTCATTGAGCCACTGGTTACTGACTTCCATGGCTTTGCGTTAGTTCTCTCCACACCCCGCCATGAAAAACCTAATCAAGAGCACCATGTTGGGACTTCCCTGGTAGCGCAGTGGATAAGAATCTGCCTGCCAATGCAGGGGACACGGGTTCCATCCTCAGTCTGGGAAGATTTCACATGCCACAGAGAAACCAAGCCTATGTGCTGCAACTGCTGAGCCCACGCTCTAGAGCCCGGGGGCCACAACTGCTGAGATCATGCCCCACAGAGACTGACCCACAGCAAAGAGTAGCCCCCGCTCTCCGTAACTAGAGAAAGTCTGCGCAAAGCAACAAAGACCCAGTGGAGTCAAAAAAAAGCACCATGTCCTCTGAATCTATGATGACAGAAGCCATAATGTTCCTTATCTGAGGGTGAGGGAGGTAGACTCAGAAGGGGCACAAGGGAACTTTCTGGGGTGATGGAAATGTTCTGTATGTTGATCTGGACAGTGGTTACATGGGAGATATGCATAGATGAGAATACAACAAGCTGTTCACTTCGGACTCGTGCATTTTATGGTATGTAAATTACACCTACAATATTTTAAGAGTATTCTCAGATTGCACCTAGTGGGTGAGCATATTTAAGCTAAAATAAATAGAAGCTGCTTAATTTGTTCATTCACTTGTTCATTCATATATCCAGTGTTGGATGTTTGCAGTGTGCTCCATGAAGTTGGAGCTGAACCCTGTGTAAATAACCTGAGACTTCACATCCCATTGGAAGGGGGAAAGGGAGAAAAGCTGCTTTTCATATGGCTCAGCTCCAGGTTAGCAGGATCTAGTTGACAGAGCACTTTGGAAACACTTAACATTTGATATATGAGA